TAGTGTTTGTGTATTTGTGCTTTATTTGAGTATTTATGTTTCTAACAACTTTTTACTTTGTGCTCTACATTTAAACACAAATATCTCTACGTTGTGTTCTTAACATTTTCAAAACAGGTTCACTCATTTAAAAGTTAATTATTTTTGGTTTAACGCATTAGAGAGTTTTTCAAACCAGTCAATCAGCACTGACCTCTGACTTTCAGCTCCACTTGTTTCTTCATCTGGATCTTTCTATACCTGTTGTAGACAGTACAGGTGTAGATTCCTCTGTCCCAGTCTGTGGGGTACTTCAGGGTTAGACTGAGGTCTCCAGTTTTCAATAGGCCATCATTAATCTTTGTTCGGTTTCTGAAAAAACGATGCTGTAATGCAAGCAGGTCAGAGGTGTTGTGATACACGTTGACCTTCCTGTTCTCTTTGTCCGTCCACTCCACTCTGGCTTCTTTCAGTGAGTGAACTGTGGTTTGGCAGGGCAGCTGGACAGACTCCTCACCTGAATCCACCTCCACCTCTGGCACTAAGAGCAACAACAAAGCACATCATGAGCTGTACAGACAGCAAAGGTAGTGATCACATTTTCTTTAGATAAATTAATGTATTTGGACATCCCAGCAGGGAGGTCTCCAGCAAAATTAATGAACAAATATAACATCAAACACTCCAATCAAACATAAAGAGAGGTGTTGAAGTGGGTCCATATTGTGCTTTCATTTCTGAAGAGTTCCTCAGAAACGTTGTTTCTCACAATGCTGCTGCTTCAACTGCAGCTGATTGTTAGATACAAGAGTCCTCTTCACACACTTAAGTTAATTATGGAGTTCCACAGGGTTCAGTGCTAGGACCAACACAATGTAGATGCTTCTCTTAGGCAGTGTCACTACAGGGCACATTTTCATTGTTATGCAGACAGAGGTTGTCCTAAAAACTCTCTGAAAAGCTTGAGAAGTAGTCCTCACATACAAGGTCTTAAATAATCAGGCCCCATCTTATCTTAATGACCTTGTAGTACCATATCACCCTATTAGAGCACTTCGCTCTCGCTCTGCAGGCCTACTTGTTGTTCCAAGAGTATTTAAAAGTAGAATGGGAGGCAGAGCCTTCAGTTTTCAGGCCCCTCTTCTGTGGAACCAGCTTCCAGTTTGGATTCAGGAGACAGACACTATCTCTACTTTCAAGATTAGGCTTCAAACTTTCCTTTTTGCTAAAGCATATAGTTAGGGCTGGACCAGGTGACCCTGAATCCTCCCTTAGTTATGCTGCAATAGACATAGGCTGCCGGGGGATTCCCATGATGCATTGAGTTTTTCTTCTTCACTGACCTTTTTTCACTCACTATGTGTCTATCTACCAATCGGTATTTGATCGTTAGTCTTTACCTTACCGGTAATATGTAAATCACCTTGAGGTCACTGTTGTTGTGATTTGATGCTGTATAAAAAAACTGAATTGAATTAAACTAAAAGAATGATGACTGACAAAAACAGTGAACAGACTGCTATCTGTGGACCAGGTTTGAACTGAAGTCCCTGATGCATTTGTGTTCATCATTTAAAACAATTTAAAGCAATTGTAGTACTGCAATTGCACCCTTGGCAGAAACTCAGATACTGTGTTTAATTCTGTTTTGTAGTTTATAATGTACAAAGACCAGTCTAAGTACTAAAATTGATCTTTTAAATGCAAAGTTCTATTTAAATATTCAATTTGTATTTGTGTGAATGAAAATGGGTGAAAAAGCAGCCAGTGCCCAAAGTAAAACATTGAAAGAACTTCAGAAAACCCGAGAACTATTGCTCAAGACCATTTTATGAAATTATGAAATTAGAAGACACTTTGGCTCATTGGCAGCAAAATATAAAGAAACTAGGGGTACCTCGAGATATACTGTATGCAAAGCACAGTATATGAATACTTTTGCCCTAAAAAACCTCAGCAGTTCATGTAGATTCTACTTGTAGGGTCCATAAATGGACTAACCATATTTCTATTATTGAGGCTGTACTGACCTTTGACCTGAAGCACCACTTGTTTTTTCATCAGAACATTTCCCTTAGTGCTGTAGACAGTGCAGGTGTATGTCTTTGTGTCTCTCTCCGTGGGGTATTTCAGGGTCAGACTGAGGTCTCCAGTTTTCAGCAGACCTTCTTTCATCTTCGTTCGGTCTCTGTAAACCTGGTCCTGCTCATTGGGGTGGTCAGTGTCGTTCTGATACACATGGACCTTGTCATTATCACTGTCTATCCACTCCACTTTAGTGTCTTCAAGCAGGTGAACTTTAGCTTTGCAGGGCAACTGGACATACTCCTGCCCTGAAACCACTTCCACCACCCGGGGGACTGAAAGGACAACAAAGGACAACATGATGACATCAGCAGCAGCTGTGATGGTCACATGACCTCCTTGTCCCCTCCTTGTCTTCTAGTCTCTGTCAGATTGTGTCTCAGTTTGTTCCTGATGTGTTCCTGACTCGTTCTTTGGTAACTAGTCTGCAGCGTCCTGTAAAGTGCTGCAGACATGTTGGATGAAGAAGAACAGACAGACTGAGCCTCCACAGTCGGCCATGTCTCACACACATCAGCACAGAAACCATGAAGCTCTCATGTGTCTCTTGTAACTCTCAACTCTTTCAGCTTCTGGAACAAGTTTGTGTGAGCCACAGTCAAGGAGCCACCAGAGGACACCTGCTAACCATCGGCATTATGGGTAGTGTAGTAGGAGACACTCACCTGACTTAAAATAGTATCGGAAATTAAATAAAAGACCTCCAGAAACAAGAAGAACCAGGAGAACCAAGAGAACCATGGAAGCTATGGCCCAGGATGGAAATGGTTCTGTTGAGAAACATAAGGAAAAAAAATAAAAACATCACCTTTGATCTCTGACCTGCATCTACACCTAAGGCCTTATTTATGCATCACTGACCTTTGACCTGCAGCACTACTTTCTGTCTCAGGATGTCTTTGTCCCTGTAGATGGTGCAGATGTATCCTCCACTGTCTCTCTCTGTGGGGTATTTCAGCGTCAGACTGAGGTCTCCAGTTCTCAGCAGGTCTTCACTCATCTTTGTGCGACCACAGTAAAGGTCGTCCTGTTTCTTAAGGTTCTCACTTCTGTTTGGATACACATGGACCGTCATGAGTTCTCGATCAGGGCGAGTCCACTCCACTGAGGTGTCACCAGGTACGCCAGGTCTAGTTTGGCAGGGCAGGATGACAGACTCTGAGCCTTCCTCCACTTTTATCTCCACCTGCTGGTCTGAGAGGACAAGAAAACAAAACTATCTGAATTGCAAAACGTCCAGGCTATCATGCTTTTCCAAATAAGACTTCAAACGAGTACAAACAATGGTTTCTAAAAATTTTCAAAGGACAGGCAGCTTAGTGATAGGCATAAAATTAGCTAACATAATTTGATCAATATCAGGTTTCTTAAATAAAGGTTGCACTGATGAATATTTAAAGTTTGCAGGAACCACACCAAAAGACAAACTGGTATTCATGATGGCCAACAGAAACTGACCTATACTAGGAAAAACCTGTTTATTAAAATCAAGGAGCAGTAGCATCTTGAGGGAAACCTGAGGGCTTAATTTGATGAACCACATCCTGTATGAATCCCAGAGTCACTTGCTTAAACTGGTTCAAAACAGTTGAACAACTGGCTGAGGCAGATGGATGAAAAACACAAGATCAACTGGGAGCCTTTGTGGTGGCAACCTCATCAATCGAAACTGCATTACACATATCAGGGGAGGTTTTGAAACAGACAAGCTGTGAGGCATTAGAAACAGAGTATATAGTTTTGAACATCAGGCCTGGGTTATGACAGTTGCATGCAATCATGTTTGATAGGTGTTCTCTTTAACAGTATTCTAATAAAGACGCCAGCAATTTGATAAGATTTGAAGCGTGTCCTTTTTCAGCCTCCATTCTGCTCTGCGACACTTCAAGATGGTTTGGAAGAAGGAGCTGAACAAGGCACTAATCTCCTCCAGATCAGAAGAACGAGTCAGGGGGAGATATTTATTTAGACTCTTTTCCTCCAATATATCTTTCTGAGTTAACTTCAGTAATTACTTCCTCAAAACCATCAACGTGTCTTTAGACCCAATTTCTGCAAGAGTGCTCAAGGACATCCTACCATTTATTAATCATATTTGAATCATATCTATCTAATAGTCACTCATTTGTTCATGCAAAGTTTCACAGGGTTCAGTGCCAGGACCAGTTCTATTAACACATGCTTCCCTTACACAGTTTCATCAGAAGACATAGCATACATTTTCACGGCTATGCAGATGAAACCCAGCTCTATCTGTCTATGAAGCCAGATAACACACACCAATTAGAAAAACTGCAGGAATGTCTAAAAGACATAAAGACCTGGATGGCCGCTAACTTTCTGCTTAGGTTACTGTACTTCTTGGAAATATGTTACTCACCAGCTTACTCTGTAAGCCTAGTACCATTTAATTTAATTGGTATTGAAGTTGTTTGAAATTATTTTTGATCAAATCAAAATGAATTGCTGACCAGGTTTGAGAGCCGATTATATAATATGCAGTTTGTTTGTAACAGATCTTAGAGGCACGCGCTAAGGACAGGGGAACCTCCAGAATTTTTCCATATGGGTGAATATATATGGGGGCCACAAAAATATTTTTCAAGATTTCTGAAAAACCTCAGGACTGAAGTTTTAAGTGCACATCATTGTTTTATATGTGAAACTTTCTGCCATGAGGGGATTATTATGGAAACCCAGCTCCAGAGACTGTAATCCCAGCTTCCACCCACCATCTAGACACACCTCACCTGTCATCTCTGGCTCCACATCCTTACAACTGTGCCCCATCTCCACTTTAGTCTCTGGTAAAGAGGGTGGGCTGGCTTAACCTGTGGCCAGCCACCCTCTCACCAGACCAATAGCCAGGCTGTCCTCTGTCTCCTTCCGCACCCTTGCACCAATTCATCAGCTTCTTTCATAGACAGCCCAAGGCTACAGGTGGGCCCTGCCTGTGCTAACATCAGCAGGTGCTCAGGGTGAGGAACAGAAACAGGATATGAGCCCTGTGTAGCCCCAGCAGGAGCAATCAGAGATCCCTGAGAAACCTGTGTAACCTGAGAATCAGGTGCATCTAGGTCCAAGCTAGTAACAGATTTTGTCTGCTGATGCTGGGTCCCTGGTGTCAGCTTTTGCCCTGGTCAACACAAAAACTTTTTTTGGTCTTGCCCTGCCCAAGTCTCTGCTTGCAAGCCCTGCTTGTCAGAGGAGACAGCATGACCAAATGAGGGTACCGATCTGTCTAAACCCAATCCTGAGGGTCCTCGGTCGCCTGTCCTGGACCATCTCGAGGTGAAAAGAAGAAATGGCAATTCATACACAAAATATTTTTGCCCCCTGTTTTTGTGGTTAAATCTGCTGATAAGTATTCAAAATTAATGAAAGCATATGTATTTTATTCAGTTGGAGTACCAGTTCCAGTACCAAATCCTGGTGTTTGATGGAAAGCAGTTCACCTACAGTATAAACAGACCATAACCATGATAATAACCAACCAGCTGTGCTTTCCAAGGATGGATGCATGATGTGCAATGTAAATGCTTTTAGCTCTCTAGGAGTGTAGGTTATTATCAGGTGTTTGGAAAAGAAATAAAAAGCAAAAAACAACAACCCCACCAAAGCAAAGCAAAATCTAAATCATTTCAGTGGCCAAACCACAAATAATATGAGAAAGTAACATGATGCATTATAGCAGTATATTTTTGTGCAGTTGATATTTTATACCTTTTAATGAGTGAAAATAACGTAAACCAGAAAAGCTAATTCATTCAGCACAGTGTGAAATTCTTTTTTTAATAATAACTGTATTAAATCCCTGTATTTTCTCATAAATGTGGTAAGCAGTTGTTTTTTAAATAATCAGTTGCAGACCTTTGACCTTTAGCTGCACATCTCTCTGTCCTGTTTCTTCTTTCCCATCACTGATGGAGCAGGTGTAGACGCCGCTGTCAATCAGGTCTGGTTTTCTCAGAGTGAGGCTGAAGTCTGAAGTCTCCAGAGCATCAGGCCTCATTGATGTGCGCCCGCTGTAGCGGAGGTTCTGCTTTTTGAGATCATCACCTTCTTCTCGTCGCAGGTGGACAAACGTGGGACTGAGATCACTGCGAGTCCACATCACTGTGGGATTTTTCTCAGGAATAATACCAGAGTACTGACAGGGCAGCAGAAGAGACTTTGCCTCCTCATACACCTCCACCACCACAGCAAGGGCATGCTGGGAAACTGTAAGGACACACAAGCCGAAAGACAAATTAACAGCATGCTTTGAGTTTGTGTCAGCATCCACGTGCTGGAATGCAGGTTACCTTATCTGCAACTTCTACACTCAGTCTATCCATGTAATCTAAATTTAATCAGATTGAAATCAAAGAAATTATTTTAAACAGAAAGTGCTGCATTCTCTGAGGGACCTTTGAAAGGGACCAGAATTTTCATGCAGTGTTGGTGTAATGATGGCAGCATATGACCAACCACAAAAATGAACAGGACTTTCTACAGCAGGGTTCATGAAAACTAACCTACGAAGCCAATTTTGGAAAAATCTGAAGGTCTGCAGCTTAAGTTACCACAGAAACAAGTGGAGCTCCTTCACATAACGCACAACTGATGGTTAAACTCTGCCCAAGATCCTAATCCTGCTTCTCCTGAATAAAATTTAGTGTGAAAAGATTCGGTTTCTGTCTCTCCTGGTTTGTTCAACAGTTTTTGATGTAAATGTCTGAGTGAAACGACGTTCAACTTTCACTCTGAGCTCTGAAGTCTGAGATGCCACTCAGATGACCACTGTGCAAGGAGAAAAAATAAAAAAAATAAATATCCTGTTGAATCAGAAATGTATAATTAAACAGCTGAAAAAGTCAAAAGTAATGATCAAACAGTTCAGCTGTAACAGCTGCTCCACAGAAACCCTTAAAGCTGATGTGCAATTCATGCACAAAACATTATTAGTGAAATGTACAGGTGGTCCTGGCACAAATACAAACCCAAGCAAACCAAACAACTGCATCTTAAATTGTATTACAAAAACACAGTTTGCAGAAGTCTATGAGGACAAAGCTTCTTTTCTAAATATGGCAGTACAGGTCACATGACTTCTGGAACAATGTCCTTTGGAGGAAGCGCACCAGCAAATCTACATGTCTGAATCTCTGAAGGAGAAAAGAATCGAGATTTTGCAATGGGTCAGTCAAAGTCCAGACCATAACCCGACTGAAATGCTGTGCTTTTTACAGGGATGATTAGAAATAACTATATCACAGGTGTTTGACAAATCTGAAGAGTTTATATATACAGATCAGGCTGAATGAAACAGCTACCAACAAGAGTGTGAGAGAGTCCAAGTGCTGTGTATTCTGATCTGTGTGCTTTGACTGGAAAACCAGTTGTAACATGAGCTGATCTGAAAACCACCAAGACGAATCCAGAGATTTGAAAGTTGCTGCTTTGGATTGTTAGTTTGATCTGAATCAGAATCCAGTGTTTGATGGAAATCTCCTCCTGCTGCACTTCAACACATTAAAGAGAGAGAGATGAAAGAAAAGCTGATGATGAGAGCAGAGAGAGGAAGGTGTACTTACCGTGCAGGAGGATCACAAACACCAC